AGGAAAAGGATGAAGATTTCAATCTTTTTTTTTTTTTAACAGTATTTTTTTGATTTAGAAAGATAAAGATTTAGGAGTTAGGAATGGAATACCTTCTGAAGAGGTTGCCTTTCCCCTTCTCTCCTTTCACCCTCCCTACTTACTTAGGTGATTGTTTTAGTAACTATTTGCAGTGCATCCTGTGGGGATATTGAGACCAAGGAGAGTGTGTGTAAACAAAATAAACTCTTGTCTTTGAGGTGTACGTGATTAATGTCAAGTTCACAGATGTACTTTCAGAGGGTCAGAGAAATCTTGAAAAAGTTGGGATTTGAGCCAGAAGATTTTTAAGTTGTGAACTTTAAGGAATTGTATAATTCTAAACCAACTGCTTAAGTACCTTCTGTGGTGTGATGTTAATTATGACCCTTTTTATGTGTGCTGGGTGAGCCTGGGTTTTCCTGAGTAAGTTTTGTGTAAGCTATGTAACAACATCTGTGTCCTTGCCTGGGTCCCCATGGGGTGGGGGGGTGTTTCCTGCCATGGCTGAGACTTACTGCAGAGCTCTGGGTTAGTAGACTACAACTACTCACAGCTACTCTTCTCACATGTTGTATTGCTCATCTTGTACTGATAAGACGCCTTTCTTCATTGCTATTATCAAGTATGTATTGATGTCAGTTCAAAAGAGGAGACATTCTTGATGGGAAAGACCTGATAGTGATTTTTGTTTATGGGAGAAAATCCTTTTTTTTTAATAATTTTTTTTTTAAGATTTTTTATTTATTTGACAGAGAGAGATAGAGCAGGAACACAAGCAGGGGGAGTGGGAGAGGGAGAAGCAGGCTTCCCGCCGAGCAGGGAGCCCAATGCGGGGCTCAATCCCAGGACCCTGGGATCACGACCTGAGCTGAAGGCAGACGCTTAATGACAGAGCCACCCAGGCGCCCCTGGGAGAAAACCCTTTGCATGTTATAAAACTAACTCAATGTATTTTGAACAAATAATGTGAACATTGGTTCATTTGCCATTTGGTCTGTAGCACAACTGTTTATACTATATTAGGAATTATTACTAAATTTAAAATCAAATACGGAAAGTGGACATAGAACAGTTTGTGACACATAGAATGCCATATGCCCGAAAAGTCCATAAGGATAAAGCTCCGTAAGCCCCAGAAGATCTAGTTATTTCATAGGACGTTTATTAAACTACAATCTTAGAACAAGAAACTTTTGGCAAATTATATAGAGGAATAGACAAATTTGACTTTTAAGTGTACTGGTATTTGTATGATGTTTTTCTCAGTCATTTGCTTAAATGTTTCAATATTGTAATTTGAATGGTCATACTTTAAAGAATCTTAGTGTATTCCTGTAGGGCCTGTTTTGCTGTGTTGGTATTGATCTAGAGATAAAAATGTTTGACCGAATTGGAAGTTGCCCCCTTTTTTTTTTGACTGGGGGGGAGTTTGTGTTAGCTTCAGTGATACACAAATTTTTTCAAGGCCCTTTTTTACTTTTAGGAAATGTTGAGAACCACAAAGAACTTCCTTGGATTATCAATAGTTGCTGTATTAGAAACTGAGAAATTTTAAAAGTAATTATTTACTAATTCATTTTAAAATGACAAAACCCATTATGTATTACGAAAAATAACTTTTTACCAGAGCAGAAAGGTTTAGTGAATGGTATTGTTTTATGTTTTTGCAAAACTCTTTATAATGTCTGGCTTCATAGAAAACAGGTTCTCATATCTGCTTCAGCATACATTCTGTTGTGATAGGTTGTTTTGGTTAAAGTGTATAAAGAAAATCTGGCCTCACACAGATAGGTAGTTGGAAAATAGAGGAATAGTATAATAGCCTTTTTAGATAAATGTAGGTATTCTTTGACACTTACACACATAGTTGACAAGTAGTAGTTTCATAAAGGTTAGTTGCACTGTGGAAGCAAAAACTAAGTCAGTGAATTTTTTGTATTCTGTTAGATAAAATCCATTGGTCTGTCTTGCATTGCTTTTACCCATGCACAAGTTTCCAACATACATTGGTCATTTGGTCATTCACTGAGTTATGCAGATCTTCCAGATGTTGACACATACGGTATCAAAAATTTCACATTCATTGATATTAGAAGTAATCTATTTAATCGGAAACAGGCTTTTTAAGTATTGGGAAAATTTTGGAGCTCATGGTGGTGGATACAAGTTTTCAAAATACTTATTTTTGCTTGAAAACTCAGATTTTATCATTGGCAACAAACATTAGTGGTTTTCCTTGAAATGACAGGTTCACTTTGTTCATTTTTGAGAAAATACCCAACTACTCAAGTCTGAATAACCATAGTTTGTCAGTTGTTCTGCCAAGTAAAAAGAGTGTTCTGTGAAAAATGCTTCCAGTTCAGCTTGCAAATCAGTTGTATAATGCTTTTTCTCAGACTTCTTAAAGAAGCAAAAGTTGCTTTACGTGTACTTTTCCTTTTATCACACAGTATTTAAAAATGTATACTCAAAAAAGTACATACTCAAGATTGGAGATTTAATAAGATTTATAATTTCATCAAAGACATTGTTAGAAGGAATGGACTTTTTTTTTTTTAACTGTAAATGAGTAGAGCATACAATGACCAGTGACTGTTAGTACATTTCGTTGCCTCTGCCTTGATTTATGTGAATGTACCCGCAGTTTTGCTCAGCCTTGTTTTTGCACCCTCAATGTAAACTTCATGCAGTGAGAAGAGACAAATAATGTTCAGTATTAATATGAAAATAGCTTTGGTCTTGTGGACCCCTGAAATTCGAGCTCCTAAGTCTGTAGGCCATGCTTTAAGAATAACTGGCTTAGCCCCTATGTTTATAGCAGCATTATTTGCAATAGCCAAGATATGGAAGCAGCCCAAGTGTTCATTGACTGATGAATGGGTCAAGTCCATTCATATATGTGGTATATATATACAATGGAATATTATTCAGCCACAAAAATGAATGAAATCTTGCCATTTGCAACAACATGGGTAAGAGCTAGGGAGTATAATGCCTAAGTGAAATAAGTCCATCAGAGAAAGACAAATACCATATGATTTCACTCACCTGTGGAATTTAAGAAACAAGACAAATTAAGCAAAGGGGAAAAAATAAGACAAATCAAGAAACACTCCTAATTATAAAGAACAAGTTGATGATTATCAGATGGGAGGTGGGTGGGGGGATGGGTAAATAGTTGATAGGGATTAAGGAGGGCACTTGTGATGAGCATTTAGTGATGTATGGAATTGCTGAATCACTATGTTGTACATCTAAAACTAAAATAACACTGTTAACTACAATGGAATTTTAAAAAAAGCAATTTAAAAAATAATTGGCTTAGCTCTTTATATAAATTTCCTTTTGCTGTCGGACCAAATAAGTCCAAGGTGATGTAGAAGAGGCAAATGACAGGTTTTTAGCTTGGGCTACTAAATGCAAGCAATGCCATTAACTGAGATAATAAAACAGGGTGAAGAGTGTATTGGAAGAAGAGAGTTTTGAGTTTCAGGGAGCTTGAGGATCGTGGGGGTGGGAGTGTCAATTAGTGAAGCTCAGCAAGTTTTTCTGAGTGTTAGGAGGCCTCAGTATATACTAGGTGGTTATTACCAAGGAAGTGAGTTGAGAGAGAAGAGGGCAGAAGGGACCTTGGTGTCAAGGACATCGGGAAAGGAGCATTTCATAGAAGAATGAGGTGGTCAGCACTACCTAATGCTTCAGAGAAGTCCCATAGAATGGGGACTGAGACTTGACCATTGGATTTGATAATGAGATTACTAGTGCCCTTTGCCAGAGCAGTAGGATTAGAAGCCAGATTATGAGTGAAGAGTGCAGAAGCAGCTATTTATATTATTCTTTTAAGAAGTTTTCGGGTAAAGGGGGTGCCTGGCTGGCTCAGTTGGAGGAGCATACGACTCTTGATCTTGGGGTCATGAGTTTGAGCCTCACATTGGATGTAGAGATTAATTAAGTAAACTTAAAAAGTTTTGGGGTAAAGGAAGAGAAATGTGTTGGGCAGTTTCAGAGGTGGGCTGTATTGAGGACAGTGAAAGAAGAGAAACTGGATGAAGCAAAAATACAGGTGTGATACAGTTAAGTTGGTGGTGTGAGCTGTCAGAGAAGTGAGAAGCTTATGTGCACTGGATTTTCTGGCTAGAGAAATGCAGAGACCTGTTCAGCCTACAAGCTTTTTGGTAGGAATGGGGCGTGTCTTACTAATTCTTTTCTGTTTAATTGCTAAGTGTTTGGTTTGATACATTTGCTTTGTTTTATTTTTAAAGATTTATTTAGTTTAGAGGGAGAGAGAGCGCACCCCGAACAGGGGTAGGGGCAGAGGGAGAGGGAGAGAAGAGAAGGATGCGGGGCTTGATCTCATGACCCTGTGATCATGACCTGAGCTGAAATCAAGAGTCAGACTGAGGCACCCAGGTGTCCCAATACGTTTGCTTTTTTTTTTTTTTTAAAGATTTTATTTATCTATTCATGAGAGAGGCAGGCAGAGGGAGAAGCAGGCTCCCAAGGAGCAGGGAGCCCGATGCGGGACCCGATCCCAGGACCCTGGGATCATGACCTGAGCCAAAGGCAGATGCTTAACCATCTGCGCCACCCAGGCACCTCCAATACATTTGCTTTAAATCCACTAACTTCAAGAAGTTTTATAGTGTTTGTTTTTTTTTAATGCAGATGATTTAACTTTAACAATCTGATTCTTTCAGAACGTAACTTCCGTTTTGGCTATTTTCAGTCTTTGGTAACAAGTGACAAAAAAGAAGGGTGGACTTCTTTCTTTGTGCAAGGATTGTCGCCACCGCCCCCCCCCCCATATTTGAGTATCCGGGTTTCCAGAATAGTCTTAGTGTTTTTCTTTCTGGAGGCAGAGTTTGGATTATAGCCTCAAGCAGTGTTTGTATTAAAAGCATGTGAGTTGTTTTCTAATGTGCATATATTTCTAACTTCCTTTTCTTTTTTCTCTTTTAGTTTGTTCTCTGGGGAGGCAGTAAGGGGCCGTGGAACTGGCCTCGGCACCGGGAGAGGCTGGACTTCCTGTCTCTCTGTGCTGAATGGCTGCGATGGCGCCCGCTCTCACTGACGCAGCAGCTGAAGCACACCATATCCGGTTCAAACTGGCTCCCCCATCCTCCACTTTGTCCCCTGGCAGTGCCGAAAATAACGGCAACGCCAACATCCTTATTGCTGCCAACGGAACCAAAAGAAAAGCCATTGCTGCAGAGGATCCCAGTCTAGACTTCCGAAATAATCCTACCAAGGAAGAGTTGGGAAAGCTGCAACCACTGGTAGCATCTTATCTCTGCTCCGATGTAACATCTGTGCCCTCAAAGGAGTCGTTGAAATTGCAAGGTGTCTTCAGCAAGCAGACGGTCCTTAAATCTCATCCTCTCTTATCTCAGTCCTATGAACTCCGAGCTGAGCTTTTGGGGAGACAGCCAGTTTTGGAGTTTTCCTTAGAAAATCTTAGAACCATGAATACGAGTGGTCAGACAGCTCTGCCACAAGCACCTGTAAATGGGTTGGCTAAGAAATTGACTAAAGGTTCAACACATTCTGATCATGACAATTCCAATCCCCTCAATGCAGGAAAACGAGCTCTCACTTCATCTTCTCTTCAGGGGGGTGAAATGGTGGCATCTGAATCTGGGGACTTGAAGGGGGGTATGACCAATTGCACTCTTCCACATAGAAGCCTTGATGTAGAACACACAACTATATTTAGCAATAATAGCACTGCAAACAAATCTTCTGTAAATTCCATGGAACAGCCGGCACTTCAAGGAAGCAGTAGATTATCACCTGGCACAGACTCCAGTTCTAACTTGGGGGGTGTCAAGTTAGAGGATAAAAAGTCTCCCCTGTCTTCCATTCTTTTCAGTGCTTTAGATTCTGACACAAGGATAACAGCTTTACTACGGAGGCAGGCTGATATTGAGAGCCGTGCCCGCAGGTTACAGAAGCGCTTACAGGTTGTGCAAGCCAAGCAGGTGGAGAGGCATATACAGCATCAGCTGGGTGGATTTTTAGAGAAAACTTTGAGCAAACTGCCAAACTTGGAATCCTTGAGGCCCCGGAGCCAGTTGATGCTGACTCGAAAGGCTGAAGCTGCATTGAGAAAAGCTGCCAGTGAGACCACCACTTCCGAGGGACTTAGCAATTTCCTGAAAAACGATTCGATTTCAGAAGAATTGGAGAGATTTACAGCCAGTGGTATAGCCAATTTGAGGTGCAGTGAACGAGCATTTGATTCAGACGTCACTGACAGTAGCTCAGGAGGAGAGTCTGATATCGAAGAGGAGGAACTGTCCAGAGCTGATCCTGAGCAACGCCATGTACCCCTGTGAGTAAAACCCATGCAAGATGTCACTCTTGAGAAATGTTAGGGCAAGGGAGAAAGAATTGGTGAATTCCCGTCACAGGGAGAATGGGATTCTTTGTATATAGGTGCCTATGTTCCATTTATCTTTTTTCTAATTTTAGGTACGTGGTTGCATGTACTTGCTAGTGAAGAAATGAAAGGTGTTTCTGGCATAGTGTGTTGCCGTAGATGTTATTTATTAAGAAAAAACCCAGAAGACATCCTATTTGTAAAACTATATACTTCTTTCAGAATGAAAGTAGATTTCTTTTGAAACCGTATGTAGGATATTTTTTGTAAGTCTCTGGCTTGACTTCAGATTCTCTTATTTCTAGTTAAGTGGGGACAGAAGTTTAGTTGACTTTGTTAATGTTGCTGGAATTTATAGTTGCTTTTATTATTTATTTATTTTTTTAATGTAAACTCCACCCCCAGCGTGGGGCTTGAACTCACTATCCAGGGTTCAGGAATTGCATGCTCTACTGACTGAGCCAGCCAGGTGCCTCTATAGTTGCTTTTAGTTAAACTTTCAGCAGAGTGTACCCAGTTTTCATTTTTAACAACTGAGATTTCCTTATATTTTAAGGACTAAGAATCAGAAAATGCTTCAGAGTATTTTATAGGTTGCCTCTAAGTACAATCCACTTTCACAACTTGATTTACTTCCTAAAAGACCCCATCTTTATCAGATTTGAATTTTATTTTTTTCTCAGCTAAGTTTAATTTATTGACATATTTGGGATAAATTTTTTCTGGTTTTTCCAAATCTGTTGTCTGGAGGAAAATTCTACACAAGCTTTGGGTGGCACCCCAGATTGGCATGGTGAATCCAGAGGTGCTTTACTCATGTCCTTCCCTCCTCCAGTGGCTGCTTACTGATAAACAAGGAAGTATAGTATATCTCCTTAAAAATAAACCAGTCTACATTTATCTACTTATAAGGGTTAGACTTAGGAGAGAGGGAAGCATGAGATGTTGGAAAAGAAGGTCAGGAGAGTTGACTAGTAGGTCTTCTTTCATTTCCCTTTTTGGGCCAGCGATGTTACAAAGGTTAGATTGCTAAAGTAGCCTGAAATACAGGTGGTTATGTTGGAATATTTAGTTTTTCCTTGCCTACTGTAGTAAAAAGGTGACTAAGGTTTTCACTGAAGACGTTGTTGAGACAGCCATGCTTTTTTTAAGCATAAGTAAATCTCCTTTTTTCTCAGTTTTAGCTTATGTTTCTATTTCAAGGGAAAAAGTCTGGATAATTTTGTTGAATTTCTTCCTTGTAGACCTAGTTCATTTTTTTTTTTTTGTTAGCTTACTGTATTTGAGAGTCCACTTCTATATTCCCATCTAAAGCAGATATTATTTCAGAGGCTTGCTACTGCTGTAATGTAGTTATGTTTCTTTAAATGGATTAGTGACTTAACCCAGCTTGCAAATATTTGTGGCATTTTCCTGTTGACTTTACTGCATAAGCCACTGCTTTAAAAAATCATGGTTAATGTTGAATATTTTGTGTTTTAAGAGTAATTTCATGAAACAAATACTGTAGTTGATCCATTTTAAATTTCATGTACTTTTGCATATTTGAGAAAAATTAGAATCTATAAGTTTACTGTTTTCAGGATACTTTGTTTTGAAAACATTTCTAAGTTTTGGTAATGTGGGGAACTGTTCCAATTCCGTGAAATCAAAATACCTAAATGAGAACTTTTCTTGTTTCATGGAATAATCTAGTGATTTGAAAAGACTGCTTAGGCTTAGTCCATTCACTCACTGCTTAGTTCTGAGCATTCTTATCACGTAATGGTTTCTTGATTGGAAGGTTGTAAAGTGTAAGGACAGCTAAGGGATCACTTTAGGAAACTTTCTGGAATCATTTGAATCCTCTTAAAATTAATCAGCTAAACAATGCTTTAAAAAGTTGAATCTCCAAGTATAGGATCATATTAAAGTAAGGAAATTGGGGCACTACAAGTACTGTGAAGTAAATATACTTCTCATTATGATATAATTAAATTTAAATTAAAACCACCAATAAAGCGTAAGTACTTTAAAGTTTTTGTTGAACAAGGTCACCAGACTGACTCCCTAAGGCTGGTATTTAGCCAGGTGTTTGTTGACCTTCTGAGTATTTTATTAAAGGTTTTCAGCAATTGGCCAGACAGTGAGAATGGAGGCATTACTTTGATTAAAAAAGAAGAAAAGGGGCAGGGGAAGTGGTTCTTTGGATGCTGAGAAGCCTTTTCTTTGTGATTTAATAGTTCTTCCCAAATCTCCTAAACCACATTTATAATTCTTGAGTCCTAGAATAGAAGTTAGTTCACTGTTCAGGAGCTTGACCCAGCTGGTGAATTTCAACTTTTTTCCCTAAGGTAGCTTAATATTTCACTCCTTTGCTGAAGTACTCCTGTCAGAGATAAAATTGGCTAGATTTAGTCTAGGCAGCCATGATGAAGATATTTAGCAGAGGAAGCTGTTGAAATGAATTGTTTTTAAATGATGGTGCTTAAATTACAAGTGGATGGTTCTGTGAAAATAATAAGCCTTCACCAAGAATTTATTTGTGTTTTTTCTTCTTTCCTACCTCCAAGAGGAAAAACAGTGATCCATTGTAAGTCATAGGTACATGCTAGCAGTAGTGGAATGATTGACTTTTATATGTTATTGAATTTTTGGCAAATTGTATATTTATCATCATATTATACTTTACAGTTAGTAAATTCTGTATTGCCAGATGAGGGGTATCTTAGAGAAGTTCTTTCCTTTTTCTTGATTAATTTTTTTGGGTAACTGATTTTATATAGTTTAAAACTGTTGTTATACCTTTTTATTTTAAACTCTTTTTGGAAAATCATCCTAAAACGTTTCATGTATCTTCCTGTCTTGGTACATTAATTACTTTTGGAATTTGGCACTATACTGGGTTTGACCTGTATCATTGTTTAGTAATATCACTGTGGAAGGAGCAGGAATTTTAACATTATCTTCTTGATGGAGGGATGAACTGGCAAGGAAAGTATATGTTTCAGCAATCACCTTAATTTTTAATTCTTAACCGTAGAAATAGAAATAAGAGCATTTAGTTATCTCTTGTGTACACAGAATAATTGTTGAGTATGTGCATGTGTGTGTGTGCGCGCGCACATTCTCTCCTTTCCACTTTAGTTTTCCTTTATATTACTCCCTCTCTTTTCCCTTTAAGAGTTTTGTTCTGCCATTTTGTTACGAATTTCTGGACTGACAATCTCATTTTGCTAAATTTGGTTTTCATTTCCTTTGCCCTTGTACTTACAAATTTCTATAGTAAGTACTTGTGAAGAAAATAATTTTTTTTTTTTCAGATACTCTCTTAAATGTGTTCTTAGATAGTAGTGTTCTGGGTACCTGGACATTAATTATATAAACTTCTCTTTTCTAAAAAATATATATGTATTTTTTTTTTTTTAACTGTTATTATAGGCTTATCTTGGTGGTCATTATAAAAAGAATCCTCCATAGGGGCACATGGGTGGCTCAGTTGGTTAAGCGTCTGCCTTCGGCTCAGGTCATGATTCCAGGGTCCTGGGATCCAGTCCTGCATTGGGTTTCTTGCTCAATGGGAAGTCTGCTTCTCCCTCTCCCTCTGGCCCTCCCCATGCTTGTGCTCTCTCTGTCTCTCTCTCTCTCTCAAATAAATAAATAAAATCTTTAAAAAAAAAAAAAAAGAATCCCATAATATGTTTCACTAGGACTACGGAAATATATGTTTTATATATACTACATATATCTTTATGTTACACAGTGCTTTCTTTATAAGCACCTCAGGGAGAAAGATACGCAACCAAGACTGATTTTTTTTCTTAAGCTTTTAAGTCTATGTCTGTTACCTGGATGCTAGAATTTGTGTTGTTCACTAGGTTTCTGTTGTCCTGTTGGCTTTTGGAAGTTAAAGCTTATAGGTCTTGTACCTTTTTTTAAGCCTCATTCTTGGCTTCATTTTGTTCTCCTTGTTCTTGTTTTATTTTCATGCTTTTATTTCTGGCCTAATTTTTGCTAACCTATGTTTTATTTGATAGCCTCCTAAAGTCTGTTTCAGATCAAGGTTGGGTAAAAATAAACTAGATGTTCAGTTTAGTGACATTAAATTATTTGAATTTTGGATTATCTTGATTGCAGTGACTTCTTCTGGGGGAATTTATTGTTAATAAAGATTTCCGTGTATACCGAATTACTTGTGTGTTTGTAGGTTTTGTTTTTTAGTTATCAGGGAATGCTTTGTGTTGTAGCTTCCTATTTGAATTTATTAAGTATACACAAATGATGTTGCCAGAGGTGGTAGTCAACTTGATTTGTCCTTATTTTGCTATTTTTTATCCCTTCATAGAATGATGGAGTGAGAGTAGTATTAGCCAGGAGAACTAAGTCATACCTAATCCGTCTCTGCTATAGACTAGCTATAGGGCTAATCATGTAACTACTTTTATAATAAAAATGAAGGAATTGACTAGATAACTTCTGAGTCGGAAACTACTTTAAATTGTGACTATACTATCTTTAAATAACATGGATTGATGGAGCTGTTCTCAGCACTGTTTTTTTGTTGTTGTTTTTGTTGTAGTTTTTTTGTTTTTGTTTTTTGGCATTTGGGGGAAACTGAAGCAAAAGTCCCTATAAGTCACTGGTGTAACTTGAAACAAAACAGTCTTCTTGACTTGTGACTTACAGCTTTGATTCTTTTAATGCCTCTGTGTGTGTGTGTGTGTTTTGTTTTTTTGTTTTTTTAACACGGAATGCTTCACGAATTTGCGTGTCTTCTTTGTGCAGGGGCCGTGCTAATCTCCGTATCGTTCCAATTTGTGCTGCGGAAGCAAGCACTGTTTTGGTTTTTTTAATAGTCCACTAAAGTGACTATTGAATTTGTTACTGTGTGGGATACATACTTGAGAATAATTCCATTGTGTTCTTATAGAACTTACTTCAGAGGTGAATAAACTCATTTGTGGAACACTTTT